GCTGCCTGGCTGTGTTGTAGGATGGAGCAGTAAAGTCTCAGGACTGGATGGACAGAAATACAAACCTTTTGGGAGGCAAGACCGCCCCGATATATATATATTCGATCTGTCTCTTTAGTGGTTTGCCCGGAGTTCACCTTTTCGCTATTTGCGCTTTGTTTGCATGTTGATATTTTTTTTTTCCCAAGCTGAAGTGATAATGGGCTCTGCGGTGAGAACACTGTCATGTTTGGTTAAGTGGTGAAGGACGCTCTGTTCTCACCCAGAGGAATTGATTGAAATGAAGTTCAGGTTCATTGCAGGGTTATGTCTGAAAGCAGACAAACAAGAAGACGTCAGTTGTGTGCTTAGGAGATGCGTAATCTCTTTGTCTATGGGGGTGCCCAGGGATCGGCGGAGGGAATGGCAGGCAGCCCAATGTTAAATAGGTTGGAAGATGATACATGACGGTGTGTTGTACCTCCCGCAGATTTCCTCCTTCGGGTCAAAGCTCGGCTTCGTCAGTGACTTTGTATCTTAGGATTGTAATATTACTGATACTGATCATTTCTTCTGAAGGTGATGATGACCAAACGCACTAAAGACATGGGCAAGTTCAGCTCCGTCACCGTGTCCACCATTGACGAAGAGGAGGAAGAGATCGAAGCTGTAAGTAGAACTTCTTGGGGGGGGGTCAGGTCAGCGTTCCATTCATGTACAGTGCCGTGGGCTCATATGGTGTCTTTTGTCTATTTCATTTAGAGGGAAATCGCGGACTCCTATGCCCAGAATGCCAAAGTGATTGAGAAGCAACTGGAAAGGAAAGGAATGAGTAAGAGGAGGCTACAGGAACTGGTATGTGTATTTATAATAATACTGTTATAGCCGTACTGCTGCACACAGACAGAACATGTGGTTCTATATTTACAAATGTCAGGTGGGAATATTTAGGTTTAAATGTTAAAAGGGGGAGCTGAGCTGCTGAGTCACTGCTTAGAGAGGGGAGCAGCATGAGCTGAGCTGCTGGGTCACTGTTGGGAGATGGGGGCAGAGTAAGCTGAGTTGCCGAGTCACTGCTGGGATGGTGTTCCGAGGTTTCCCCCTGGTTGGTGACCTGCAGTCACCCAAGGCACGGAGCCTAAGTGGCCCCCCAGTCCTCACTGAAAGGTTTGATGGGTTGTGGACCATAGTGGCCCCCAGCCCAGTTCATTGCATGATGTTACTAGGACAGGGCCCTCAGGATCAGCCTACCAAGGGGATTGTGGACACAGGATGGCTAGGATGAGGAGACCATGTAACGACACTATAAACAGACACATAACGACACATTTTATTTCATTGGAATTGGTGAAGTGACAGACTGTATTCAGGTCTCAGGTGGCAGACATTCCATTTCGTAGCATTTCTATTTCTGCACGCGGTGCCAGCGGGGCTTTGCTAGCGCCATATGTTTTGTCTCGTCGCTCAAATTACGCTTATTAATTTATGCGCTTCGTTTCTCACCAGGCTGAACTGGAAGCAAAGAAAGCCAAAATGAAGGGAACTCTAATTGACAACCAGTTCAAATAGAAGAGACGTCCTGAGCGAAAGTGACGGCGGTTTCGTGGGACTTGCCAGGCGTAACACGCGGTTTACAAGCACATCGATGGGGGGTGTGGCAGGATGGGGCTCCTTCCTACGTTGTGGAGGACATCCGTATCGAGCCTGCTTGTGGAGGCAGATGAGTGCTTTGCCGATTTGTATATACAGTATTATCCCTCCATAACATGGAGGATGGAGAAGTTAACCTGTGTTTTGTTGAATGGGTTATTATTCTGTATGTGAAATACAAAAGCTCAGCATTTCTTTCCCTGTAGGAAAGATTTTAAACTGAATAAAAACATTAAAAAACAATAATTATAGACAGACTCCAGGCTATTTTTTAAAAAGCCCCCCCGAAGCAAATGTTAATAAAAGAGCAGCTCTTGCATGCAGCATTCACCAGCACCCAGCGCTGTACCTGCAGTACCTCCTCTCCACCACTCGATGTCTAGTCTTCCTGCCTGAATGACGCCCAGCATCAGTTTAAGTAGATCCTGTAAGTGCGGGGTGTCATGGACTGGCCATTCTTAGGGGGTGTCACCAGAATGCCCGGCACTCATTGTGTAATGGTGCAGAAAGCACATCAGAGCACCATTCTCAGCAGCATGGAGATGAAAGAAGAGGACCCAGTGTGTCGCATGACCAGCCTGAAGACTTCTGGAAAAATGAAAAATTTCTGCATGTGGCGAAAGGTAAAGTCTTCAAGAAACATCGCTGCCTGAAGACTAACCCCAGGACAAACCATCTGTCCTCTGATGGTCCTTCCTCTGGTCATTGGAGCTCTACCAGACTGCCTGCTGATTCACCGAGTAACACTTCGTCCGTGTAGTAGCAATGATGTCATGCATGGAGGGGCCTGGGAATCCCGGAATTGGTTGTTTGCAGTAAGATCCTTGATGACCAGCCTGAATTTCTAAGATGCAGCAGATGTGATTTCGTGATGCAACCCCACCGTCAAAAGGAGGGTTCGGCTAACTAATCGATTTTGAAAATAATCGTTAGCTGCAGCTCTAGTAGGTTGCTGGGCAGTGAGGTCATAGATGACGAGCCTGAATTTCCACTACACAATAGATATGAATGTGTACAGTTCTATCCGATGAGGAGGAAGAGGGGATTTCAGGGCTGGCTGTTGGGCAGTGAATTCCTTGATGGCCAGCCTAAATTTTCAACAGATATGAATTGGGGAAAGCAATGAATGGTGGGTAGAAAAAAACAGGATGGGTTGTTGAGCAGCGATATCCTAGAAGACCAGCCTGCATTACCAGGGCATGTGCATTACCAGGACACAATAGATGTGAAGCAGCACTCTCAGCCAGGGAAGGGGGTGGAAATCCCATGGTGCGTGTTGTCAGACAGTGAGGTCCACGATAACCAGCCTGATTTTTCCACCATGCAGTATGAGTTTGTAGAGTAATCCCATCGGTCATGGAGAGCGGTGGGAATCCCAGGGTTGGTTATTGGCCTTTGAGGCCCTTCATTTACAGTGCGCAATTGATGCGAGTCGGTAGAGCAGCCTTATCAAGTGGGGAGGTTGAATGGTACACCCATGGCTGATGATTTGGCAATGAGGTCCTTGAAGATGAACCTGAATTTCCAGCATGCAACGATGCAAGTTGGTAGAGCAGCCCCATGGAGTGGTAGGAAGGTAGAAATCACAGGATAGGTTGTTGAGCAGCAAGGTCCGTGATGAGCAGCTTAGGTTTCCAGTACACAATAGATTTACATTGGAAGAACATCTCTACCAGGTGGGGATTCCAGGGTTGGTTGTTGGCCATTGAGGTCCTTCATTTCCAGCCTAAGTTTCCAGTGTGCAATTGATGTGAGTCGGTAGAGCCACCTTATCAATTGGGGAGGAGGATGGTACACCCAGGGTTGATAATTTGTCAATTGGTTGTTGGGCAGTGAGGTTGTTGATGAGCAGCTTCAATTTCCAGTACACAATATATCGGAGTTGGTAGAGCAGCTCTATCAGGTGGGGATTCAAGGGTTGGTTTGAGTTGATGTGAGTTGGTAGAACATCCCCATCTGGTAGGGAGGAGGGTGAAACCTTCAGGGATGGTTGTTGGGCAGTGAGGTCATTGATGAACCTGAATTTCCAGCATGCAGTAGATGTGAGTTGGTAGAACATCCCCAACTGGTAGGGAGGAGGGTGAAACCTTCAGGGTTGGTTGTCGGGCAGTGAGATCATTGATGATGAACCTGAATTTCCAGCATGCAGTAGATGTGAGTTGGTAGAACATCCCCAACTGGTAGGGAGGAGGGTGAAACTTCAGGTTTTGGGCGTTATGTTCCTTCATCAGAAGACTGAATTTGCAGCATACAATAGGTGGAGTACAAATTGGTAGAGTAGCCCCATCAGGTAGGGAGTGAGGAGGAACAGCCCTACACTAGGGTAGTTGGATGGTTCTGTATGTGCCGATAGTGGGCTCTTTAAGTGACATTTTGCTGTTTCATCTCAAAACTGCTTTAGTTTGCCTCGGAATTAAAAAAATCTCTTTGTTGCCATTTCTCTCAGTCAACATTAATAAATTGATTTAATGAACAGAAGGATGTTGGCTGTTTGATTTCACTGCAGTCTCTTGCTTATATGCAAAGTTTTATTTTTTGTGGTAGTTATGGAAATGTGAGTTATGGAGGAGAGTTCCTCGGAGCGATTCTCTCACACTTTGATCCAGCAAAACCGTAAATTTGTTTGTCCTAGTGGGCGGTATATCCACTGTTTGTGTTTGGTTTCTAGAATACACGGGACGTTGTATCCCTATTTAACCCCTCAGATCCTAAAGTGCGCCTCTGATCTTATATATATATATACACACACACTTTATCTTTTGTTTTTCTGAAATATTTTATTGGTCTTAACCAGTCGTAAGTTTAAATGTGAATCCATGCCAGCGATGTTTCGGGGCTGCATGGGGTCCCTTCATCAGGCGAACCATGTGGCTATCACATTGTTTGCTTGATGAAGGGACCCCATGCAGCCCCGAAACGTCATTTGTTTTGTGATGATGTGAACATGTGCCAATAAAAAGATATATTTGCATCACGGTTGGAGTGCCGGTGATTTTTCTTATCCCTTTTCATTTGATGCAACAACAAACGCAAAGGGCACGCAAAAGAAGACCGGGGGCTACATGCCGTGAGTGCCAGGGTCTGGCGATGCTCCTGTCCAATTATATTTTCAACTTAGGAGTTCTTTGTTAGGGGAACCAAGATAAGGGCCTGGTATGGGTATTAAGGGGGGGATCCAAGCAAAAACATGGAAAAAAAACCAGGACCTCCTTTCACATGAGAGCCACCCTTCACATCAAAATCTTCCCGTTCACATCCGCATCTCACTTTACATCAGAAGTCCCCTTCTTTCATGTCAGTCACACTCATTCACACCGGAGCCGCCCTCCATTCCACGTCAGAGCCGCCCTCCATTCCACGTCAGAGCCGCCCTCCATTCCACGTCAGAGCCGCCCTCCATTCCACGTCAGAGTTGCCTCATTCACATGTCACACTCATTCCACATCTGAGACCCCCTTCTTTCACCCCATAGTCCCTCTTTCACATCAGGGACTGCCTCCATTCACAGCAGGAGCCCCCTTCACATCAAAGGCATGACACTGTGTAAACATTTCAATGCACCCCCATGTGCCATGACACCCTGGTTGAGAAAAGTTGAAGTAACTAGAATCCTCAGGAGTTGCAGCATTTGGACCTGGCCAGTCAAGACTCTGAAGGCTACGAACTCAGCAGAAGAAGACCAGGAGAAGATGGAAGCGTGGGCCAACAGATGAGAACTCATCCTCAGAAGTTGCAGCTTGCGTACCTGGGCAGTCAAGAGTGTGAAGGCTACAAACCCAGAAGAAGACCAGGAAGAGATGGAAGCGTGGGCCAACAGATGAGAACTCATCCTCAGAAGTTGCAGTATACGGACCTGGCCAGTCAAGGGTCTGAAGGCTACAAACCCAAAAGAAGACCAGGAGAAGATGGAAGCGTGGGCCAACAAGGGGGGGCGCTGATGGTGATCTTTTTGCTAGGTAAATCTTCCATAGTACATCAGGGCAAAAAAACAAACCAAAGTTTTAATTTGGTCTGGCGGTGTAATTCCGCTTTAATATAACATCTTCAGATGCATATTCTAGTCAATGGTGCGTGCAGGCAAGGTAATCCGTAGCTAAGCCGTCTGAGCATATGAGCAGTGAGAGATTAAATTAATTTCATTTACTTTGTCCCCTAACAGAGCTGTGTCATTTCTCCGTCTGTCCTTCACCTATCTCCCTCCTGCTGTAAAGGACGCTCGGATTTGTTACCGCGGCTGACATGGTGAATTCCATCCCCTGTCATCATGCATCTTAATATGCTTTGACAGATTCTAGTTACAGAGCAGAGGCAGCATCTGTTTGTGTGTGCTCAATCAACATTTGTGCCAGATGTGTATCTGCCCCCCCCCTGGGAGGACGGGCCTTGCCTAGCTGACAGTACGGATACAGCTTCGTGAGCTGTCAACGCTTTGAGCTTAACACTTTGAATACAACTCAACACTTTTTCAATCCGCATTTTACTTCATTTGTATTTTTTACATGGCTACCCTAACACAACTTTTGTTGTGCTACCGCTCCCAGGGCCACCGCTGGTAGCACCTCACCTTGTAGGTGCTCACACCTCCAGGACCTGTTGCCCTCAAAGCAACATTTATAACATGAAGCTCCATACCTCTGAAATCAACTTTGTTCCAGGACAATTCCAGATTCTTCATCCAGCTGAGAGGATCGTCTGGAATTGCGCAGGAACAATACAGTTACTTTTATCTTTATGGAAGCAGTATGGGGCTTCATGTGATACACGCTGGTTTGGTGGGTGTAGTTTTAGTTTCAGTGCTGGCCGGCATGACCAAAACCTCAGATGGAGGAAAAAAAAAAAACCTGTGCTACGCTACTGAGACAGCTTAACGGATTCTGCTTGCCGCATGGCCTACAAAGGAGATCTGCCGAGTGATGGCCATTCTGAAGTCTACTCCTGTGCTGTCTGATGTCAGCCCTATTTGATTTGAAACGTCACATAGGGTATAGGGTCAGTGTCAACAGCAACCTCTACACTCCTTAAAGGAGAACTATGAG